CGAGGATGAGTGCAGAGGGTACCTGGCAGAGCCCAGACCATGCTCCCCTCCTCTTATTTCCCCAGAGGCCTCTTTCTGCTGCGAGCACCCTCCACTCACAGCATCTTTGGGGAGCTCATAAATAATGACTTGGAAGAGAAGTGATTTAAGATTACAAAACTTTTTCAAGAGCAAGTCAAGGTACCAGCATATTCAAAAGCTGACAGATATATCAGGGCAGGCACTTCATGAGGGATGTGCTTTGTATCCTCAATGTGATAAACATACTGCAGTAAATTCACAAACATGCACTTTTGCTGCTGCCTTTCCCAAAGCTCTGCCACTAAACCATCATCTTTAGATCAGTCACTGCTCATGCTGAGAGCAGAGAGACGAATGGGATTATCTCCTTTTGCTAGAAATGTTTAGTCTAGTTCACTGGGCTGTTTGCAATGACAGTTGGGTGCAGAAGGTCCCACAGATCTGGGGACATGGTAGTGGGTGTATTTTATAGCACTGTTGGGTTTGAAATTTTTCATGTTAACATCTCTCTCTTTTGGAATTATTTGTGGGGCCTCACTTTTGTTATGGAACATTTCCTGTCATGGGCATAGGCTGGGCAGTTCTTCAAAGAATTCCACAGATAGATAAGAAACTGAGGCAGGGAGACTAAGTGGGTTTCTCGTACATATATAAAAAGTCAGCAATAGTGCAAGGAGGTGAATAGTGGAGGGAAGGTCCTAAGCACTGAAATGTCCTTTCCTCCTTTGTGCAAAGCAGAATATATGAAATACATATCTTTTCATTGATAGCTTCTGGAATACACATCTTTTCAAAAGGCTGTGTCATGGTTTAAGCCCAGCTGGTAACTCAGAACCACACAACTGCTTGCTCATCTCCCCCTTCCATCTCCCTTCTCTGATGGGATGGGAGGAGAATTGAAAGAATGCAAACCCTATGGGTTGAGATAGTATTGAGTCAAATAACTAAAGTATAATATACAGCTACTAGTACTACTAGTACTACTAATGATGATAAGGGAAATAGCAAGGGGAGAGAATATAAAACTGGATGGAGAAAGGGGAAAAAAAGATAAACACAAGTGATGCACAATACAACCACTCACCACCCACCGACTGATACCCAGCCTGAACCAAGCAGCGATCCAGACCTTCTGGGTGACTCCCCCCCAGTTTATATACTGAGCATGATGTGCTGTGGTATGGAATATCCCTTTGGCCAGTCTAGGTCAGGTGTCCTGTCTCTGCTTCCTCCCAGCTTCTCGTACACCTTCTTACTCGCTTGCAGAGCATGAAAGACTGAAAAGTCCTTGATCAGGGTAAGTGCTACTGAGCAACATCTAAAACATTTGGTGTGTTATCAGCATTGTTCTTAGATTAGAGCCAAAACACAGCACTGCATCAGCTACTGGGAAGGAGAAAAAAAAAAATTCTGTTACAGCTGAAACCAGGACAGGCTCTTAGGTCGATATTAGGTTAATGATGAATCTTGCAAAACTAAGTAGGAGACATTAACTTTGATGTGGCAGGAAAGTACTTTCCCAATGAAGTAGTAATTAAGTAGTATAGTTATTGAAGAATTGGTAAACCTAGTGTTCTCTATCGCTTCTATATCAGCAGTTCTAGCAGCAGTTCTGTATAAGGAAAAGGTGTGCTTCTGACAAGCATGAAGTTTGAACAGAAATATATGAAAGGAGCAATGTGTCTTAAGAATCTTAAGTACATGAAACAATGTCAAATAAATGAAATCAATTTCCAGAAGAGAATAATAAAGGCTGATAAAAGGTATCCAGAAAGCCAGAAAACTTTTCTATTTTCTTAATTGGAGCAATTATATTAAAACTGACAGCAAATACTTTCCCAGTAACAAAAAAACACCCACAGACCTCAGCCAGCCAAAATACTGCTGTGAGCCTCAGATCTGTGAAGGTTAAAGGCTTGAGTCTACCATTAGGAGACTGCTTCTCTTCTCCCAAGGTCAGTCCTTAAATGTGGGGAAGTAATTTTGATTCTGGTGTCCTCACAGTTCAAAGTCAACGCTTACCTTAGTTTCAACAGTGCTATATTTGGCAAAGTACTAATATAATTGTATTTGGTCCCAGTCTTGTCCTGTTTGAATGTTAAAATGCCTCTTAATACCAAGCTCATTCTGCTAGCTCTCTATCAGAGTTTAGATGATGTATGAATAGCAAGCAGTGTGGACCCACTGGAGAAATCCCTTTAGGGAAACAAATGGTGCCAGTGTCCACACCACACATGTTTTGGGGGGTTTACTTTAGGCCAGTTTCTGTCTGGACCCTTGCTGCTGTGGACTGCAATTTCTTTTATCATTTTTATAGCACATAAAGCACTCCTGGGACACACCTTTTGTGTAGTTTCATCCAAAAAGAATGCAGTTCATGCAGTTGCAGGCTGTACTGTAGCATGAGCTAAGTACAGCACTCAGGCATGACTGGAGCGAGAGAGATAACTTCCAACAAATCACACTGTGCATCAATCCATGTATAAACTCTCAATTGCTGTTGCCTTCTTGTTGTTCCTTCATGTTCATCATGTCCCAGTCACCACCTTCTCTATGCGTATTTCACTGAATCCCTCTGAGGACCTTTTCCCTCATTTAAGGCCCCTTAGTGGGACAGAAAATATCTGGCAGTCCAAGTCATGTTGGTGGTGTTTTGTTTTGAAACTGCTCAGCATCTCCTTGCTAATATTAGAAGAGGAGAAAAGTGATAGCGCAACCTCAGATCAGAGATCGTGCAGCCCAGGGGCTGGTTTATTTGGGTGTTTTTTTCAAATAAACAGTGAAATGCAAACATTTGGACAGAGGGAAAACCTCCCAGTTACTGGAGGGGAAAAGAACATGATATCCAAATGACTCATGGCTTTATGGGTGAAGTAATTGCTGCGAGTCATAGCTTGAGACGTGGTTTTGTGGTCTGATACCACTCAGTGTATGTGCTTGGGTTGTGAGGTTAATGTAAATGGCCGTGGTAGGAACGCTCCTGTGACTTCCCAATTTGCTTGTTAAGACACCACTGACTGCATGGTGGCAATTACTAAGGGAGGGCACCCATCAGGTGCAAGCAAGCCCTCCTCTGGATACCAGCTGGGGGCAAATATGACAAAGCCCTTCTGCTGCTGGAAAAAGTACGTCCTGCAGGAGGAGATGCAGATGGCTGTGGCTGGAGGAACTGTGGGGATGAAGGCATTTCTGAGGCTTGGAAAAGAACCTGGAAGGGGGCAGCAGGAGCCAACGTCCCTGAGAGGTACCTGGTGCCTCTGAGGCTTTGCTGTCCTGGGGCAGGTTACGTGAAGACCTGCTGGGTGAGCATGCTCTGATGTTTGATGCAGTTCCCATATGCCTGGTATCCCTGCTCCCACTGACCACATCTGCTGTGGGTACCCTTCAGGTTACTGACTCTCTCTTTTTTGTTTTCCTCTGAATCACTTGGTGATGCTAAAGCAAAACATGTAAATGCTAATGCAAGTATAAGTATGAAGGCCAGTGGCACCTCCGCAGACTCCCACGTCTGCCTTACCACTAATTACTTGTACCTGCTGGGATTCAACTACAACACCCGTTCTAGGAAGTTGCCAGCAGCTATTTGCTGTCCAATATATGAACAACTTACAGATGTGACAAAATACAGGTTGTTTTGTCTTGAGTCTCTGTTTTTCCTCCCAGTGCCTCCATCACAGGATTTCCTCACCTTTCCCGGTCCTTCCATCTTTGCAGGTCAGGGCTGCCCCCTGGTCATAACTGCTGATGGGGACATGTCCATAGAGGTGGTGCCCTGTTCATAGGGAGCCCTCATCACCCAGAACATCCATGCCACATGGGATCTAATGGTCTTGCTCCACGGGTTAGCAGAGGGAGGAATGAGGAAAGTGCCTGTGCCCCTGTTCTCTTCCAACCAGACCCCTCCCACAGGCACAAGATACTGCAGAGCATATTTTGCTACATCCTACCACTGCTTCCTGCAGCAGAAAAATCAGGGGATATGGTTTACAGCTTGGGAGACAACAGCAGGGCATTGCCTGAACCCAGCTGTTGGCAGATCAGTTGGCTTTGGGAAACCAGCCAAACTGCTTCAGTTTTCTAGGACGCTCTGGTTTGCCCATGAGGTTAGAATTTGCAGCATTAGATAAACACAGATAAATAGAATGTATCCATTTCCAATTTGAACAATCAAATGTTTATCCAGGTCTTAATGCCTGGCTGGAAGACCAAAGGAGCTTTTTTATCTGTGGATCCAGCAGTACCAGGAGTCAGGGCTGGTCCCACATTTGAAGAATCTTCTTTCTTTTTTTAAGCAGTTCAGAGGCTGGGGCTGTTGCTTGGGAAATGACTGTATTCTCCCTGCAGGCAGATCGATACATTTCAGCTCACTGCACTGCAAGTAACTTTTCATCGTACATTAAGAATGAGAAAAATAAAAGCCAAGATGGATGTTATTTTCGTTTTGCTTTTATTTTGAATTATTTATTAGGAAGTTACTGCTGTCTTCTTTCTCATCAGGAGAAAAAAAATGCTGTTGTCTTTGGTGATTTTCCCTATTAAAAAGAAACAAGCTCTTCCCAGTTTTATTTCTCTCACCTAGTTGCTTCTTGGTACTGAAGTGTAAATCTAGGGTCTCCACAACTTGACAAGAAGGTCTACTGCAATTCAAGTGTAGTCAAAGTCCCCACTGACACTGGTGGAATCACACATCATTGATACATTTCTTACCAGCTTTATAACAACATTGCAGAGGAGTTATATGTGTAACAAATGATAGCTGGCACATAAGCAGAGTGTTATAGAAGGTTATAAGTAATCTACAAGCTAGTTTAACTATCATTTTAATTAAGCATTTATTGAATAGTTAGTAAATTATTAATCCTTTTAAAAATAATTCTTAATATAATGCATTATGGGGCAAAAATTCTGCAATTGGCTCCAATAATAATATAAATTTGGAAACTAACAATCCATTTTGATGTTTTTATTCTGAAATCTAGGTTATCCTGAAGGGGAGGATAAAGAAACTGGCCACCAAGATGGTAATCACTAGTGGAAATGAAGAAGATAAAGGCAGTCAAGAAAAGGAAAGCAAAGAAGAAACCATCTTGGCAATGCTTGGAATTATTGGGACAATTCTGAACCTCATTGTTATCATTTTTGTGTATATTTACACAACGCTGTAAACTAGAAGGCATGCAAATAGACCAGATAAATCGGCCATTGAGTGACAACAAACATTGCTGACTATTGACAAGTTGTTTAATCAGAATTGACTCTGTATTATATTAACACATCATATAAGCACTGCCTGCAGGCAATGAAGGCTGAAGCACAATTATTTTAACAAGACTATTTCACACAGTGACAAGCTTAACTCTTCTGTCTTGCCCTCTTCCTTTCGGTTTGATTTTCAGTTTGGGGGGAAATTACTGCAATTATACAAGGTGTAGCTCTGAAGAAATCCATGAGGGATATGTTGTTTTAATACAATTGATTAAAAAAAGAAAGAAAGAGAGGAACTGTACACTATATACAATTAGAAATGTATACTGTATACCCACAAAGATTGAACTTAAAGATAGCTCCATAGCACAGATCACGTGTCTGTTATGTCAAATGACTTTTTTCTCCAGGTTTTTGCTTTTACTTTCATTGAATCTGACAAGCTTTTTATTTAGAATGAACATATGGTGCAATCATGAAAAAAAAAATCCATTGAGCAAGGTCTGCCTAAACATGATAAAATGTTGGGAGAAATATATTATATGATTGTTTTTCCTTTCTCATTTGCCTAGCATCTGTCTGTTCATATCAATGTTTATAAATATCTATTTTTAATAAATGTGCTATATTTTTAGCATGAACCAAATATTTGGAGACACTTGTATTCATGCAGCTAAATTTTGTTTGAAGTGCCCTTTTTGACAATGGATGTTATTTTTCTCAGCAATTATACAGCAGTCTTGTTTGCAGCCCTCTCACAGTGGTTTGAAGCAAGCTCACATCATGCTCATATGCATGACTTGAAGTTGGAATGTCAGCTGAAAAGCATTGCTGCTTAATACGGGAAATAGCAAAACATTGTAAGGTGACCTTTGGAGACTGGTTGCCAGAAAAAAAAGGCTTTATTTATAACAAATAAAATAAAAAAATCCACTACAGAATTCACAGAATTCCTGGCTTCCAAAATCTGGTTACACTAAGTGTGTATATTGAGAGAAGTGAAGAAGAGGTTTATGCAGTAGAAAAGAGAAATTCAGAGAGCCTGTAGTGAAGGGCTTAAGTGAAATCCAGACTGTAAATGCAGAGTTTATTTTAAATGTGAAGATCTTTTATGCTTCTCTGACATGTGCTTTATCTGAGGTCAGTATAATGAAATTCTCTGACTTGTGTTTTTTACAGGATTGTACAATGATGATGATCACAATTTTTCTTCAGAATTCAGTACCTATAAATATATGAAGCATTAAAAATATAAGACCTCGATTGTGCCTCAAGCTGCCTAAGTACATTGCCCACTAACTGACATATCATCTTAAAAAATAGGTCAGTTAATTGTTTACTGACTTCTGGTTCGGACTGCATCCTTAGATGTACAAGGGGGATTGCTACTGAAGTCATCAGGAGCTGCAAAAAGTTTGATACAAGAGTATAATTGATTTTAGTGATCAGTCTTCTCCTTCTGGAATCAACAAGGATTTTTTTGGTGAGTTCCAGCGACTAGGACTGCTCTCAAAAGCACAGAATTTCATTGCAGGATATAAAAGCAAGCCTGGAAAACCCTGAGGGGCACCTCTCATAAACAGAGGTGTTAGTCTCTTGTGGCATTGCACACTCAATAATATTGCTGAAACCAGGACACAAAACTAATTTGAAGAAGGGAAAAGGTCAGTAAATAAAATCAAATTAAATTAGATATGAAGACCACAGGAAAAAAAGAGTAAAAATAATCTCATGTTAATGAAAACAGGGGTGAGAGAGGTGAGAAAATGAGCAGAGGTTTAAACAAGCAAGAGAGTGCCAATCATGCCGGTGTGGTTGAGGAAACATTTGTGTTTGGACAGTGCTGGTAGAGAGGTAGGTCTTGGAGAGGATGAGGACACTAGTGGCACAGTTCTGTGGAGCTGAGTGAGGCTGATCAGTTTTTAATTTATAGTTATTTATAGGTAATTCTAAGGAATTAGCAAAGTCTGCTTTTGGTCATCCTGAATAAAAATAAAATAAAACAAAAAAAGGTGAAATATATTTACCTCCATGTTTTATCTTCTGGTTATACTACTGCTGATTGCAGACCATTGCAATGGCACTGGTGGTCTTGTCCCAGAGCACACCTGCACATACTCCAGGCAGCTGACTAACTTCAGCCCACCTCTCATGCTGGCAGGATCTTCCCTGCAGATGTTTCTCTTGAATCTCTCCTTCTCCCGCAAACACAGAAGCAATCTGCCTGAGGCTCATACCCATATTCTAAAGGTAAAGCCTGGGAAAGAGCAGTGTCTGAGTCAAGAGGTGCCTGATGCCTGATATTTCTTTCTCTTTCTGCATTAAATAATACCTGTTATCTTCTTGTGGGCATGAAGATACTTAAGGAATAAAATTTCATTAAGTATTTCTCTTAATATTAAAAATTAAAACTCTGCATTGTAAAACAACATATTACACCCCTTACCCTTAAAGTAGCAACTTTTCCTGTTCATCACAGTTGTACTCCTTCAGACATGAGCCAGCATCTTCACCAAGACAGGCCCAGCAGATAGCCCAAATGTGCTTAAGCTGAACTGATGGATCAAAAAGCCTAAGGACTCTGTTTTTACTGTGTGTTTCCCAACAGAAGACCAGTTAAGGGAAGAGTTTCCAGCTACAAGTGTTCTGTGTTCTGTACTTTGCCTGTTAGTCTTAGCATAAGCAGTGTGTCCAGGTGCCTACTGTTCTGTGCCAGCAGCAGCTGTGTTGTGTGCTCTGTGCTTTGTCACAGGGCTTTTATTGCACCCTGAAAAAGGAGAAAGGTTTATCCTATTCCATAAAAAGTTTTAATACTTAATATTTTAATTTTACAGGTTTCTGTTCACAGATAGACCTAGAAATGTCCTCGGGCAAGTACTTCTTAAGTAGATTACTTTAAGTATTCACTTAAATAAAAATGAAGAGTTCCCTTTGAAGGCAATTTCTCTACTTTTTATTTGGTATTCATGAACACTGATATGGGAAAAGTATGTTTTCAAGACTGACTTTTGAAGGGAAATATCTTATACAAAGATCTGAAGGTATGCCTATCCAAGCAGCCACACACAGGCCTGCTTTCGGCTGAATGCCAGCTGGAGCCAAATTACCATCATGCTTTTTTATGTGAGCAATTTTCATCATGCACCTATAAGAAATATTTAACTAAATAACATATATACCATGGATACCTTATAGCCAGTAAGTTCAGTATAAATAGTTGAATAGAAGTCTCATTACAGGTGCTGAATAGTAAATCTGCTTTGGCAAGGAAAAGCCCGATACTCTTATTTTTGGCTTGTAGTTAATACAAATAGTTTCCAAAGTATATTTTTAAAAATAAAATATTATTCCATTAGCAACAGGAACTTCATGTTTGCACTTGAGTAGACGTCAATTAACATACAATATCTTAATATATGAAAACATCACCTTTTTCTTCTGCCAACTAAGAATATGATTGCATTTTTAAATTATCTTATGTAGTTTGATAGTTTGTGTACAGGAATGAAAAATATTTTCCTGATGAGACAGGAAGGTGAGATTCTCCCTACTAGCGCCTTGTGTGCTCTCTGATGGGTACAGAAGACTTTCAAGAAAGATGGTGGTAAAAACATGCTGTGTACGCAACAAAGTGAGGAGAAAGAAGAAAGATAAGCTATCCCTCAACTCTGGTTCCTATATCTGCCACTGAAAATTCATCATCTCAGGAATCATGCCTTCATCCACGAATATATCTTCCTGTGTGCTGACTGACAGGACACTCTTTTCAATAATGTACCTTTGACTCCTTCTTTTTGCATCTCTGCAACTTGGGACAGTTTTTACACATATCCAGCCTGAGAGTTTCTGGAAGCTGCTGGTTTGGGTTATTGTGGTGTAAAAGTCTACTACAGGACACAGTTTTATTATTTTAAGGACAGTCGGTAACCATCTTCACATTATTGTCTGATAGTGTAGGGGATACTTTGCTGGTTGAATTCTCAGACCCATCTCTCCCTGGCCCACAGGTCACTCATTCAGTAGACATCCAGTTACCAAAAAGCTTCATTTACATTGTGATGAAACCTTAGTATGAAGGATTGCTAAAGTCCAGGAGTCTTATATTTCCATCTAATCTATGTCCAGGAGCTCACCTCAAATGCCCCAAGGTCTCATCCATGTCAAGAGGTCTCATCGTTTCTGAGTGAGAATTGACATTTCAGAGTACATGGTGGCATAAGAAGAGAACTTGGCCCAGAGAGGGAAACAGGGATAGAAAGTAAAGCTTCATGGAGGCAGCAGTGCAGAATTTACTAATTGAATAGTTTGAGGTTTGGCTGAAGAAATTTGTTTCTGGCTAGCCAGTATTTTGGATAAAAAATACTGTTCCTTGGAAAGTTTCTGGAAGAAATATGTCTAATTGAAAGAAAGAACCTCATTGAAAATGTTTCAACAGCATTTTCCAGCAGCAGCCTTCCAAAGAAAACACTGACCAGGCCTCTCAGTGACTCTGGCTTGCTTCCCGAGAGTACTTCTTGGTAGCACAGTACCACACTGCACATGTGTGTAAGCACTGGAAGGCTTTGTCTTCTTTGAAACAGAATGCAAGAAAAGCTCTTCATCTTTGTTTCCAGCAGGTACCCTGCAGAACCTATGCTGCTTCTGTGCCTGGCTGTGCATTTTGGAGTCTCTTCCCAAAGGGTCTTACAAATTCACTGTAGCTTTCCTTCCCCACCATATATCCAAGAAGAACAAAACCTGTTCAGCATGGAAACTTCCACAACAGCCTGAAACCCCACATGCATCCACATGTGAACATTTGAACCATCTGGTATCCAGTAAGACTCTTATTGTCTTAAGCATTAGGTTTACTTATTGGCATTTCACCTCGGGACTCAGATGGTGAAAGGCAATTTGTAAGATTGAAAGCACTCAACTGTTTCCAACTTTGCATAATGTAGCTGTTACCTAGAAAGGTGCCTGCTCATCCTGTGCAGTGCCATGTGCATGGCACACAGTCTTCCATGCGCAGTGTCTCACTAACAGAGTATCCATGACTGTGAGGCAGGTTTGGGCTGTAACTGGCCCCTACATCCGGATTTTGTATCAAAGCCTAGATCCCAAGTCAAACTCTGTAGAGTGAAAGGACATCCTTCCTTATCCATAGAAAGTACTTAGCTATGCTCACCCTTCTTCTGCAATCAAGACAGATTCAACTTAAGATGGTCCTGCAGAGCTTCCTTCCTCCTGGCAGCTGCAGAGCTTCCTTCCTTCTGGATGAAAAAAAAACTCAGCTTTGGGCTTTTGCAAGGCAGAGATAGCAGCAGGAACAATTACTTCTTGCTGGCAATGACCAGGTCACTTGCCTGGAGTGCTGATGGGGACCCTTTTCCCTCCCATCACCCCACATAGCCTGGAAAATACAAGTGTATTATGTGGCCTCTGGGTTATCTACAGGCTCAGTCACCAGTTTGACACAGGCAGGCTTGTTTTATGATGCTGAGACTTTGTTATGTTCAAATGACTCCTGAAGCCAAATCTTCAGGAAGAGATTGAAGGCCCTGATGTCTTAATCAGGCCTGATATCATGAAGGTCTCAGGATAAGTCTCAGTCATTATTAGTCTCTGGCAGAAAAGTGTTAATGGACTAGCATTAGCAAGGGACAC